AAATAAATAGTTATAACCTCACTTTCAAAGATTTTAATTTTATTTTTAATTATTATAATCTTACCTAAAGAGTTTGTACCTCATTTTTAAAGGTGATAACTTTATCTCAAGAGTAATAATTTTATATTTGTAAATAGTAACATTACATTTAATAGTCATGATCAATCACGATTAATTAAGATCGATCTCAATCCCAAATTTATTTTATTTTATTTTATTTTTTTTGCAATTCCACTCAATTAGGATCGATCATAATTAATTAAGATCGGTTCCAATGCTAATTTTTTTTATTTTTTTTGCGATTTCACTCAATTAGGATCGATCATGACTATATGAGATCGATCTTAATGCATTTGATGGTCCAAAAATTGGGACCAAACTAAATTTGTGGCGATTCCAATTAAATAGGATCGGTCACGACTAACCGAATTTTTTTTTTCCTGAATTGGTCCCGGTCCTATATTTAGTTACATTAAATTGACATACAATTTCATAAAATTAATTAACATTTTATGAATTAATTTTAATCTTATGAATTTTAAATTAATGACCAGTTCAGAAAAAAAAAATTCATAAGATTAAAACATTAATTTAAAATGCATTAAGATTAATTCATAAGATTAAAATTAATTCATAAAATGTTAATTAATTTTATGAAATTGCATGTCAATTTAATGTAACTAAATATAGGACCGGGACCAATTCAGGAAAAAAAAAATTCGGTTAGTCGTGACCGATCCTATTTAATTGGAATCGCCACAAATTTAGTTTGGTCCCAATTTTTGGACCATCAAATGCATTAAGATCGATCTCATATAGTCATGATCGATCCTAATTGAGTGAAATCGCAAAAAAAATAAAAAAAATTAGCATTGGAACCGATCTTAATTAATTATGATCGATCCTAATTGAGTGGAATTGCAAAAAAAATAAAATAAAATAAAATAAATTTGGGATTGAGATCGATCTTAATTAATCGTGATTGATCATGACTATTAAATGTAATGTTACTATTTACAAATATAAAATTATTACTCTTGAGATAAAGTTATCACCTTTAAAAATGAGGTACAAACTCTTTAGGTAAGATTATAATAATTAAAAATAAAATTAAAATCTTTGAAAGTGAGGTTATAACTATTTATTTTATAGTAAAATTACTATATTTGGATCTAAAGTTATAATTATTTAAGGTTACGTTATGATTAATAAAAATAAAAATACCACAAAAAAATGACTGCTGAAATTATAATCTTTTAAAAAAAATGATATAACTTTTATTATAAAATTATCACACATTTAATGAGTAACTTTCTATTATTTAAAGAGAAAAATTGAGGCCACTCACTTTATTCGGTACCGTACCGAAAAATGTGTGGGCGGTACCATACCCTCCCCCATTTTTTTATGGGCATTCAAATGGAACTTCGATTAGATGCGAGTACCAATACCTGCTGCTGAGATGTCTGCTGGAATTTTGGGCCTCGACGAATGGTCGGCCACCTATTACTATTATAAAAAAGTATTGTTTTTATTGGTGAAAAATAACTTTTTAG